CTTTTCCAATACTGCCTGAACAGAAGTCAATGCTGAATATCATGTCTGTGCTAAAAAGTTACCTCTGTATCTAAATTTTTGCAAGTACCTCTTTTGGGTGTTCTTAGCATGTGGGACTGACAGTTTACGAAGAAAAGAATTGCATATTTACAGGAACTGTATCATCATTGTAATTGCTAAGGCAATATTTTTATGACTATTTAAAGACTAATTATATCTTGAGCAACTTGAAAACTATGTACAGTGCACAGTTTCTTACTCTTAAGAAAACAAGACAAGAAGAAAAAGTATTATACTAACAGATAAGAATAATTTATTTTAACAATAGTGTTGATGCTTACAATAAAACACAATTCCTCCCACACAAGTGGAAAAAATATACTGCAGCCAAAATACAACTTCTGAAATGAACAAATAGTTTAGATGCCTGATCTGTGTGAAGTCTTTGTTTCAGTGAAGTCTGATGTATCCACAAGGTCTTGCAGCATGTTGGTTAGACATAGGAAACAGAGAAAAATTGCTCAGGACTAACCCACCTATAAAATATTAAGAAATACAAATCAAATTCTGTGTTGTAGATAGGAAGTTCGAGATTAATGAACAGTGTGCTTGTGAAATACCTTGTGTGCTTGGAAATCTTCTTATGCAAAGTCAGTGGAGTACTTAACATATGAGGGACAATGTAAAGCTCACACTGCTTTTTGTCAGAGGAGTGAAAAATGCAAAAAGTGATGGAGAAGCTGGAAGTCGAGACTGGTACTTAGAGTATGGGTGGCTCCCTTCGAGTTGAACTGGTACAACAAAGTGATTCTGGGTGCAAAGTGATTTTAATGCTGTAATATGATTTTTAAACGAATATTAAATATCAGATTAAAATGTAAATTAAATGAGGGAATATTTTAAATGCCATATTGTGTTCTCACTTGGACAAAGAAAAAAGATGGCAATTAACTACAAAATACTCTTTGTCCCATGTTACAGGAAAAGCTAAGCAACAGTTTTCCTGTAGACTGAAATCATTATTCAAACAATAGAATGAATGTTTTCTAGGCCTCAAACATCAGTGTTTTTGTTTTATGTTTTAAAAGTTAATGCTGCAACAGTCAGGATGACTCTATACTTTGTGGTAATTATCAGAATTTTCTATAATAATAATATTATGGTTAGAAGCCTTTTGTATGTTTTAGTATCAGTTTTGAGTGGGGGTTGTTTTTGTTGTTGGGTTTGTTTGTGTTTTTTTTTTAGGTGCAAACTGGTATTCAGATTAAATTTTAATCCTAAATGTTACATGGCATTTAGTCCAGTTTTCTAAACATATAAATATGTAACTTTAGTCCAGTTTTCTAAACATATAAATATGTAACTTCCTAATGTTGTACAACGGATAACAGTTGCTTAGATTTTTTTTTTCTTTTTTCTTTTAGGAACAGTTGTGTTGCTTAACATTTGAAATAGGTAAATTTTCCTTTTTACCCTTCAAGACAAGGAAAGCTCCTTTGGTTCTCTAAATTCTGCAGAGAAACAATCACAGTCCAAAGCTGCTGGTTCCCCTCCGCCTAGGTCCCAAGAGCCTGACTTGTGATTGTTGCTAAAAAACCTCACAAGTTAGGGTCTCAGGGACTAGGAAAAGTCCGACATGATCCAGTAGAATTCGTCTTCCAATAAACTGAAATGCTTAGTAGTCATAACCGCTGTCAGCAAAACTTTCACTGCTATTGTTAAAAAAAAAAAAAACCACAACCCCAAAGCAAACCCTAAAAACAACCTCCCCCCCCAAATCAGCAACCCCTCCTTCCCCCCAGATAAACAAACCACAGTTTCAAGTAGGGGGCAGAAAAGATCAAATAAGCAGGCAAGACGCATACATACATTCAAACAATGTATCAGCTGACCGATCAGACTTTTCTGAGAGTATAGTCCTTAACTTTTGAAAAGAAAAAACAAAGAACACAGGAAAAAAAAATCTTCACTGCCTCATCTTGCAAGCAGCCATATTATTATAATGCAGGGGGGAATAGAGGGAAGCCTCTATAAATGGGTTAAAATCTGCTTCCAACAGATTTGTACAGTAACAATTTTATTATATTTTCCTTAATGCCTGAAAGAAGGATTAAATGCTTGTTAAGGGGCCTCTAATTGAAATATTTCCCCATTATAATTTCAGTCGTACTGTTCAGGTGGGCCCTGGTTTGCAGAGTACTTTAAACCCATTCACGATGCAAGGATAACCTTTGGGCGTGTATTCACTTTTTGCCTCTTCCCCACGTTCAACATTTAATCCTTCTACAGACTGCTACAAAAAGCTTCTTCCTTTCCAATGGCAAAACTATACTTCACTCCATAAGCTGCAGAAAACATTGGCATGCAGAGATTGTTGTCACTTGAACCAGATTACTCAAAGCACACATAACTTTCAAATACTGTCGATACAGTAAGAAAAAATGCTCGGGTTTCCCGAATAATTTTGTTCTGAAGCCGAATACTTTTAATGGCACGACCACAATCCTGAATTACTTTTGCATTCATTCTCCTCCGATCTTTAGCCTTGTTTGTAGAATGAAAAAGAAAATTTCTACTTTAGGGACAGGATCCACCGTGGGTTTTTTTTTTTTTCCTCCATCAGATCCCAGAGCAAAAGAAACAGCAGCCATAAAGGTCCTAGCCACTGGAGCAGAATCTGGCATAGAAAACTCAGTGCTCTTCGGGAAGCCGTTCAGCTTTAAAAAGGAAAAAAAAAAAAAAAAAGAGAAGAGGGGGGGAAGAATTAGAATCTCTGCTGGTCGAACAGGTGAATCATCCATTTACAAGAAAGCTGTACAGAGCACTCTGCCGAAGAAAAGATTTGCCAGTGCCCCCCACCCCCACCCTGCCCTTCACCCTCCCCTCCACACTGATACTTCAGATTTCAGAACATTTTGGATTATTTAAAATATTATTTCAGCTGATGATATAATGCAACATTATATAAGAGCCGTTTCTTTGTCACTGTGCACCATTCAATCAGTTATGCCTCAGACACAAAATAGTTAAATGAAACAAAATATATATATATGAGAGAGATATATATGTATAGCAGTCCCTAGATTTCATTCAATTTCTTTTTTTAAAGCTGATCATGATTTAACAAACAATTTTGACCACAGCTTTCAAATCAATAATTAGAATGAAAAATCTCTCCCCTCTATAAATATGACATTAACATAATTATACCACCCCCATCGCATAGACCCATCCTCTTTAGGGAATACATCTGATGCTCTGAAGATGGAAATCAGTCAGATTTTAGTTGCTCTCGAACGTACCTTTGCTTCTCACTGACTGACTGGCTTTACCTTCCATGCACACACACAGTCACCAGCACACAGGCGCGCACACACACACATACACATGCGCGCGCACATACACACACACACACACACACGCACAAAAAGGCAAGGCAAAGCAGCGGATGCTGACTCAGAGCAGTTGTGTGTGGAGGGGGTGGTATCGGCTGGTATTTTCACTGCACTCATCATTAACATTAACTCACTCTCTAGCATCCACCCTCTCTCGGACCTGCTGGACTGCAGCATTTGCATGACGCTGTCACTCTAGCCCTTGTGGGTCAGATGTTAGAAGAAAAAAAAAAAAAACCAAAAAAACCTCAAGGCTCTCATAAGGAATGCCTTCATTTCTTCCAAAGGGTCCCTCTTCTTATTTTTCCACCTTTCTACTTCCTCTGTTGCTGTGTCTCAGTTGTTTGACATCTTTCCGGAAGAAAATGTCTTGAGCTGCAATAAGCCAGTAGTCAGTCGGTCCTCCCCTCACCTCACACTCCTATTCCCACCCCCTTTTTTTCCTAATCAATAAGACAGATCTCCAAATGCAGTTGTGAAAACAGGCTCTGACACACAGACTTTCATCCTCGATCCTCTGCCTCAGGAATAGCAGGCAACCCAGGCTCACACGTGATGTAGAGAGAAATAATGCCAGTAATTCTTGAACAGTCTTAGGAGTTTATTCTACGCCTTCTTCATTTTTTCCTTTGCTCGAATAAATACCAGTGGGAAGGGCAAGCTAGCTCTCAAAAGCTACAAGGATTCACTTCTTCAGAAAATAATGAACATTAAAAGACTAATATTAATCTTCCTCAAAATTAATGCTATCTTTCCCCCCCCCTTCATTGTGCTCTTTATAAGTAGGGATTGTCTCATAGCCAAAACCCTGCCAGGGTCTGAATCACCATTCACTGTGCTGAAACCGTGAGTTTCTGGACTTCAGTTGGCATTTAACTGGAGTAAGCAAATTTTTTTTTTTACTATTTATTTATTTATTTATTTATTTATTTTAGACTTCTTAATTAAAATAAAATATAAAATAGAAGCTGCTTGAGTCAGAGAGAGCACTGCGAGAGAGAACAATGGCAATACACTCTCACCACCACACTGAGTCCTGAAAATGCATGTTTGAGCTACACTTGTGTATTTTTTCTGTATGGTATTCTGTATTTGCTCCGTGTTGGTAGAGAAGTCTGAACACATACACGTACACCAAATACACACACACAGAGAAACTCAAGACGCGTATATAAAATACACAACACAAAACAAAGCACAAAGGCTGGTAACTGAAACACAGGCACAAGTTGTCTGACAGGCTATGAAAATCCACAGAGCATAATTATTGTGTGCAGTTTTACCTTGTTCCTTTGTTCTTAAGGCAAGGGACTTTAATGACTTACGGTGTTGACAGTCTTTCGGCTTTTCCCTTTTTTACGCCAACAGTATTTGGGAATTACTTTTCCAGACAATACCACACCACTGTGATTCGTGGTATAAAAACTATTTACCAGAGGGGGGGGACAGGTGATACACAATTCGCCAGCCAATTCTCAGAGCTGCCTGGTGCCGTAGAAGGACTCGGCGTAGCCGGGCGGGCAGGTCCCAGGATGCAGTGCTGCACCGCAGTCCCGGCTCAGGTAGCCAGGTTTTGGCAACCTTACGGCAGCAGCAAACGCGAAGGGCATCCACTTGCAGGAAAGGTCCAAAGGAAAACACCGCGCAGCCCCGAAGTAAAGACAGAAAGCCAAAATGCCGGGGTACACGCCCTAAGCCCGGTTAGTACGTGCCTATGACCGGTCGTGGTGATGGCAATTAATTTCTTAGGAAAAGGACGGAGGAATGTAGACAATTAGGAAACAGTTAAGTTTGTAATCTCAGTGAAGAGGGAGAGACGGAGACAGACACACACCCACAGACAGAGAGCGAGCGAAGAACGCCAAGCATGAGACAACAAAAACAAGACCAAAATCAGATTTGGGAAACTGAAAAAATACAGGATTACAGCATTCAGCTTAGCATTTACTGAGGTATGAAAAAAAAAAAAATTACCACATGCACAGCATGGCTTAAAATACTTATTGCCATCAACAGTCTGTGACGGATGCCGGCTTCTTACTGCTATACGTACATTAGATTGGTCATCGCCTCTTAATCTCCTTTTGCTCAGACCCATCCATTTTTTGCTGCTCCAGCATCTGTGCCCTTTATGCTTTTTTTCTGTATAGTTACCCACAATACCCTGGATAAATTAATGTCATGACCTCGCTATGGCTATCAGACAGAAAAAAAAGTCTACTATTTTAATAATTGAACGTGCGCGTACAGCAAACTGCCTACTGATAGCCCAGCTTTGTGGACTGCCTCCAAAAGCAGCCTTTGCTAGCTCTGCGAATCAGAAACAACAGATGCAAATACTAGCCACATAGCCCCGGCTCTCTGCCTTGCCTTTTTTTTTTAAAAAAAAAACCCACCCTTTTCAGTCTGTGCCATTTCATTTTCCCTGCGTCTGTCCCCTCAACGGTTAAAAACATTAGCCTGATGAAATTAGAAGCTCCTGAATAAAAGCATGAAGATGAGAGAAAATTATAAATGGTTGCAGATTCTGGAAATTTATATCCAGACGGTGAGTAGGGAAGAGTACCCAGGTTCAAGTGCTGAGCCTCACTCGGGAGCACCTCTGGGGCCAATGGGACTGCAGACTAGATTAAATCAATAGTCGTCTGAAACGAGATGTCGTAATCAATCAGCTCAATTACCACTGTCATAGATCTGGGCTTAAGGTCTTTCCTGATTCTACTCTTCTAATCATTAACCCTTATACATCCTCAAAATAGGAACTCACACTTGCTCTGCTGCCCTACCTTCAGACCATCAAAGTTTAACTTACTTAGCATTTCCCCCTCTTTTTCCCTTCCCCTATTTAAATAACATAAGAGTGGGTCAGCAAGAAATATTTTAAATGTGGATATGGGGAGATTAGATGCACTCCTTTAAGTGTACCTATTATATATTTGCTGCTGTGCCCTTATATATTATTATTATGCCTCCGGGAGTGGCTGGGTGGATCAAAGACTGCTGTTTAATTAACATTCAACTCAGCTGTTTCCTTGGAGATTAAAAATAGAAGACTAGTTGAATTAAACTGAAGCTGTTCACTCCTTTCACTAATCCAATATTACAGAATCCTCTTCCCCTCAACCTAGTTAGAAACAACTCATTTCTGGTTAATCAGCCACCAAGAAAATCCATTTTCAGTTTGAGGGTAAGTGTGAAAAAGTTGGAAAGACAGTTTTGTGTGCATGTCTGAATTTCATGGAATTGCCCATCATTTACATTTTGCATCCACAGTACAGTAAATCCTCATGAAATGCAAGGAGAAAAGAACCATCAGGTTTGACTACGAGCAGAACCACTTTAAATTCTTGCCTGTAATTATTATTTGCTGTATGAAGATTAAATGTCAACCATTTAACTTTTTTTTTATTCCTGTGCAGGCCCTGAAAAGATCCAAAAGCTTTTCATAAAAATGCTCCAGCAACTGCCACATATCGTACTCTCACTTTCTCAGGAGGAAAGAAAGAATCCAGGCAGCAGGTACCCGGAATTTTGGTCTCTTAAATTTGATTTATTCTGTTGATAGACCCAGATAATAATAGTGAAAGAAAACCCCGGTAGATTTACAGTTACATCACTGCCTGTGCACACTGCCTCTGTTTCCAAGCAGAACCACACCTTTTTTAACCATAGATCTGCTTCCCAGATGGAAAGACCGAACGTAGAGTGGCCTCAGTTCACACAGCACCCTGAATGCCAAACAGCACAATTAGCCCCCTTGCCATGGCAGTGATATTTTGGGGAGGAATTTGTGCTCCTAGAAATGCAAGAAAGTGGGTGTGGGATGGGGCAGCAAATTGGTGTCTCAGGGCAGAGGCAGAGGCCGAGGTCGGAGGTCTGTCTGCGGGGAGGGCACCTGGCAGGGCAGGGCGCCGTGCTGTCCAAGACAGGTTATAATTGGAGATCGATTGCTGGATTTAATGACCCAGCTGTTTTCATTAGTTGAAACATAAAAAATTGGCCTAGAAAATGATTCAGCTGCTAGCATAGGTGCTTTTTAACAGGCTTATGCCTCAGCCAGGAATGACTTGCAGTCACTGACCCCTCACAGATGGAAAAAAATGACCTCAGCTTTGCCTCTTTTCTGGGAAAGATTTAGCTGACAGGGGCATGAGATACAAAAAGAACCTTAATTTTGCCCTTTAGTAATGCTAAATGAATGCACTGCACCAGACACCACCTTAAACTGGCTGAAGGGCACTGCTCAGTTTTGCAGGCAACAGCTAACTCTGTGAGCATCATCCACAAGGGGACAGCATCCTCATCCACACTGGAAAGATGCAGTTTGTGTCCACGAAGAACAGAAAGAGGAGCAGCCATTGCTGAAAGCACCGAAAAATTAAGAAAAAAAAAAAAAAAAGAAGGAAAAAGAAGGCGTTTCCTGGATTATTACTTCTGGACAGAGAGGGAGGAGAGGTGAGGCTGGGCATGCATGTCAGTTATCAAACCCCACCCAAACACGGGATGAGCCTTTTGTTTCTTAGACAGCAAGAGTAAGGTGATTTGCAATATTAATGCAAAGTTTGTGTGACAGATAAGGACTCTCTGGAATAACAAATAATAATTTTAGGAGAATGTGATGACAAGAATTAAATATTACTGGAACAGAATCAGAATGTATCTAACAGGAGGGGGAAAATGCACTAATATCGAACACTATTCTGATTTTACAGTTCTCATCTTCATATTCTCAGTGTGCTCCTACTGGGATGCAATACACTCATGCCTCTTCTTTTTCTAGAAGCAAAAAGTTTCTTCACCACAGTGCACATGGAAAGGATACTCATGAAATAAAAGGTTTAGTTTCTGTTAATGCAGCATGTAAATGACTTCGAAGAGTTACACTGTTAGAATGACCTGTGCCTAGTTAGAATGACCTAGTCCATAGTTCTGTCCATAACACCTTTTCACCTCGCTGATGAACATCAAGGGGATAAAGACTTCAGAAAATTCCCACAGTTATCTAGTTCCTGATCTGTCACACACACACACACACACACAATATCTACCCTCCTATTTTCTTCTTTAGAAATGCTACGCCCAGACTTTGTCTTGTTATTTAGTAAGAGTGCCTTTTGTAACTTAGCTGAAATTCCCACCTGATTATGAAGTATTAAAAATATGTAGAGCCTACGCAATCTATTACAGAAAGGAAATCACGGAAATAAAATTACAGAGAAACAGCAATATCCTTCTCTTCCTACGCAAGCTCCATCTCACTCAAGAAATGCTATTATACCGTCTCCTTGCTGACTTGTCAATTTACCTGCCCTTTATTAAAACACAGACACATGACAGCAGAAATTACTGCAGTTTGAATTACTCTGTGTGTGAATACTATTCAATAGACCTTGATTTCACCAACATTTTCAATTAAAAAAAGTAATTATTTGTGAAAACAAACCACTATGATATATATTCTTTTTCTGACCTATGTTTCCTTCAGCTTTGAAAGCATGAAATAATGAATGAATTAACTTTTCTATTTATGAACACCTTTTATACTTCCATCACTAATTGCTTTGTGTTACTTCTTAACACAGCATCAGCACAATGTGAAGAAAGGGCCCAGCACTAAAATGAAACTCCGACTGTTCAAAAAACTGTTTTTGACTGAGCAGTCAAGTCTGCATTTGCAGTCTGTTCAATAAGAAAGATGTAAAGTGGCAAGCACTGTTTTAAAAATCCAGCTTCATAAATTTTCTAGTATAACATTTTTACTGTTTCCTGACTAATTAGGTATACATGCATACATGTATATATATACATAGATATATAATTGACCGAAACACAAGATTACATAGAACTAGATCACCAAAAGATGCTGTTTATTCCCAGAATTCACCCCTCCATGCTGGCTGCACACTATTGTTGTAATTATCAGTGGGCCTGATCCTGAAATAGTGCAATACAAGTCACTTTTTTTGGATGAATAATGTCTCTGAAACGACCTGAACTATTTCTCAGAGCACCAGTTCCTGGACACATATATGCCACACAAGAATCTGAGTTTATAAAAGGAAACTAAAGACATTCGGTGCATGCTGCAAACAGTAACAGAATGTACAGAATTCTGCTACAGGAAAAAACCTTCCTATTTTCTTAACAATGGGATCTGAAGATAAACATTTGTGAGAAACATTCAGACACACCATTTCTACAGCCTTATTTTAAGAGATCTTCAAAAGGAGGCTCGGGAAAAGCGAAGCCTTTTAAGAAGAAAATATAAAATAGCAGGTTCCATGCCTGCAAAACTGGAATATTTTAAATTTTCTAGACAGTGAAGGTTAAAGCTATCCTGCATTCTCATAGTTCTCTCTCTCCTTTCAATCAATCTCATTGATTTTTTTTAAAGGTCAGAGGCTATACCTTCATTGATCAAAGAAACAGCCTGACACAGCGAAAGAGTCTGCCAATTCCAGACAGATCAATCACACCTTTGTCTGCTTTTGATACATTATGGTTATTTATTCTGCATCACCACGACTTTCTGTCGCATGGCTCTTAATGTAATAATGCTTCTTGGGGACAACAATAAAAAAGGGGGGAGGGGAAATATTCTATTTAAAATATTTTAAGCCTCTCTCTGGTATTTCTAAGGGTGGCTTATGATGGAACTTGGTCAACTTGTTTGATTTCATTTTTGCCTTGGAAAAGAGCTCCTGTTCTGGTATTTAGCTCTTCTTGGTCAGCACTTTGTAGGATTTTATAAAGGCAGTCCTTTGAAAACAATTCATGCAAACTGTTTTTAGAAAAGTAATTAGATCTTGATAGGACAACACTTATGATCTAATCACAACCATAATTTCCCATGTTTATGCACTGTTTTAGAAATGTTTTAATAAATAGAATGTAACCGATACTCAGCTACAGCTACGGACTGCTTTATGACTGTAAAATGAAACTAAATGGTCAGCCTAAAATAATTACTAGGAAATATTGCTGAATAAACAGATCTAAGTGCTGAAAAGCTCCTGGCTTTGCAAACTATTATGCTGAAAGCCAGCTAGAGCTTTAAAAAATGCACTATATGCTCACTGTCTGTCGTGACTGAAAGTTCTATGCTATTATTTAGCTTTTCATAGCTTCTGCAAGAAGTTTTCAAAATTCCTCTTGGTCTAATACCAAATCTTTTGTTCACATTTGGTAGCATATCACTTCACAAGCAGTTTCTCAAGAGAAGTCCCTTTTGGGTCTTGGGATATTGGTTATAAGTAAAAGCATTAAAATCCGGTTCTAAAAGTGAAATTGTAGCCTAAGAGAAATCAGTGGCAAAATGCCCAGTGACTTCAGTGGAGTCAGGACCTCACTGTGTGAAGTTACGTCTCAACTCCTTGAATCCAAACTACCTCCAGTAGAAAAGGCAGCTTGTGGGATTTCATAGGACCATAACCTTATAAAGATTAAAAAAAGAAAAAAACCTCACAACACATTTCTTAGCAAAATAGCTAACAAAGCTTTGTAAGCTCTACGTAACACTCAGCTTTATCAAAGACAGTGGAGCTGTTCAGTAAAGTTAAGCATGCAAATCTTTGCAGAATCAGGATATCAGGTAATAAGACATAATCACCATCGTTACAACATTAAAATAAGATATACGATAATCCAAACACTTGGCATTGGTTTCTGATTTCATTGTGCCTGCTCTGTAAATTATCGTGCACCCAATTTACAATTACATCAGCATTATTATGTAGAGCAAAAGGTAAGTGGTATACAAAGCTGAAATATTAAACCCATTAAAAAGTTATGAGTTTGACAGAGTCCCTACATGTATTTGTGTGCATGCCAAGAAATGCATTTGAAAACCTTTAACAAAAGGAAACTTGCCTTCCAGTGATAAACTGCAATGCCTAAACGACATTGCTAAAATGCGACCGCCACTCTCGAAGGCCAAGAGACCTTAAAAGCGGTTGCTGGCTGAGAGCATTATACAAAAACATACAGTTTCTTCTGTAAAGAAATAAAGCTGAATGCAAAACATTTCAGAGAAGTTTTGAATAAGTCTATTTGTCCAGCTTACTTTGCAAAGGCTCTGAAGAAAACAGCACCATAAACACTTTCAGTCCCCACACAAGGGCTAAACAAAGAGTCCTCTTTCTAGCCATTTAATCCAGTAATTTATTTTTTCAACCATCACATAAATCGAAACACAGCTGTAACCAATGACTTGCAGATCCAGTTCCCTGCCAGCTGGATCCTGTTCTGCTGAAGCAGCAAGATTTTTACATTGTTCACTTCGGTACATCTGGAGAAATCATTTGGGTTCAAAGGTGACTAGAAAAGCTCTTTAAATAAACTCAACCAGCAGTGAAGAGAGGCCTACATATCTACAAAAGCTCCATGGAGTTCTGTTTAAAAAGTTCTTTTCTTCAAATTAGTGCACAGAGCAGTTTGCTTCTTTAAATGTTTTATGATTATGACATTTTAATTGAATTATACACTCAAATATGTATTTTGATGATAAAGAAACTCTTTCCCCAAAATTTTCAAACATAGTGTCAATATTCAAAAGTGATCAGTCACTAGTTTTTTCACTTATCAAATTTTAAAAAATCATCAGAAAAAGGAAAGGAAGGAAAAACTATACCTGAATTAAAGCACATTAGTTGCTTCCTGAAATGCAGCTCGATTTTAAATTTAAAAAAAAAAAAAAAAGGAAAAAGGCAAAAATAAAAAAGCATATACTCTACTTGGATATGCTGAACTTGAAATCTTTTAGAAGTTAAACCTTAAAATAGCCTTACTTCAAAAAGTCTGCCTCATCCCTTCCTGCATGAGTCTGCAGGTTAAGTAACAAAAATGTCCCTGACATTTAAAACTGCACACAGTAAATTGATTACAATGCAGCAATTCTTTTAGAAAAGCAATCACAAAGCAAACCAGCTGAACCTTTCAGAGGTAAATAACAATGAATATTAAAGGATCATATAATCTGTATCTTTGATTATTTTTCAGACAAATCAGGTACTCAAACACACTTACAATAGAAGGGTTTTGTGCACAGCCCAGCCCCACTAACAAAAACATTTGCAAGACTGAAAGTGCCGATGCCAGGTCTTATTTACAAATTCATAAACACGAGCTCTTGATTACAAATTAAACTAAAATTTGTCTCTGGATTTATCTTTCTCTTCAAAGCAGGTAAGACACATCCAGAACATGTCCCAGTTGCTTAGGTAAAGATGCAGTTCCTGTACTGCACATTATTAAAAGGTATTTCAAAATTCAGTTAGGGTTCACTGCTGTAATTGCTTCTCTTCCTCTGTTAATACTTACTGTAATAGCTGCTTGGAAACAATGCTGATAAAAGTATCCTTTCTGCTCGCCACTCTGGCCACATCCCTGCACTGGTTTCATATTATTGCCAGTTATCTCTCCTCACAGATTAACTGAGTAGCTACCTCTCCTTCAGCTCTTCCTTTTCGTTGTCTACTCTTGCCTGCACTTCCCCCATTCACTCATAATTGTAGGAATTCTATATGTGCTCTGTTGTAAAAATAGGAGCATTAAAAAAAAAATAGAAAAGAAGGAAAATATAATGCCTTTAAAAGCCAGATAAACCAGATAAATCATCTGCAAAAATTAACATGCACTCATAACCAGGTAATTACCAATCACTGCAGGGTAAACTTCAGGGTATTTAGACATGCATTTCTGTCCATTAACATCTACAGATTTACGTAAACATTCTAAAATTAAAGTATCTAAGTTTTCACTTAATTGTAATGTTTCTGGAGAGCAGTCCCTGATGTGTATTTACTTGTAACTCAACTGTGGTTGAGTTTTTGCCTGATAACCAATGTAAGTATCAAAAAAGGGAGCGAATTTTGTCATAACAGAAGCTGCTGGTGCCCAGTGAGTGAACTTCTGCAGGGTTTGCCATGATCAACTTTGCCAAAATCATCAGCGCAGTTCAACAGTATAAACTTCATTTACCATCCATTCCCCACAGTTCTTTTGTTTCACCAGCAGCAGCCCTCTGTAATCAGATTTTGTGTTGTCAAAACTATTTGCCTTTATAGGCAAATCCTCTATCAGGATTTATTAAGCAATTCAGACATCACCTATAGTCCATGATGTAACACTGTCTGCTTCTTGCCTGCCTAGGGTTTAAGGTAAGTTAGGTTTGGGTAACTTAGAGTCACAATTTGATATAAACTCTTCAGAGGCCTGTGACAATCTAGGAAAAGTACAGTAGCCTGGAGAGAGGTATTATCTACTTTCGTTAGGTGCCTTTGGTTGCTTAAAAAACCATGCTTAACTCTCTCACACTGCAGTTGGTAGTACAGATGGTATTCTGATTTATCTAGGAATATAACTCCCATGGCAGGCCCTGAGACAAATGCTTTGGTAGTTTTAATATATATCTGGTTTAAAACCTAAGCTTTGCTGAATGAATCTCCCAACTGGAAATCCAACTCACCGAGCTAGAAAGACCAAATCGGAGATTTTTAGATCCAACACGCCAATTTCAGAATGTGCAAAACCAGATATTCCAATTATCTGAATTTTTGTTTGGCAAACGTTATGGGTGCTTCTACCTAGGGGGTTGGGTAATTATGCTTATCTTCTATAAGGCACTTACTTATGCCAGTTTACATTGCAGAGAGTACTTTATGTAACCTGTACCACTGGGTGCTCTGCAGCAGGGATGAACAGCTTACAAAGGCTGGAGTGCCAGACTTCACACACATCTCCCCTATTAAAGACAGAGCTTGTCAATAGAAACTGAACAGTGAGCCAGAAACTGCTGCCATTTAAAGATGACTGATGTTGCCAATCACCTTTCTGGCAGACCTTTGCTCCTGTGCAAGGCAGCAATTCCCATTTGCCAGTTCTCAGGGAGTGTGCAACCCAGGACCTTCAATGCGTAGCATGAAGCAGAACATCTGCCAAATGTGAGGGTTCTTTCTGCTCTCCCTCCTGACCTCAGTCATTTATTCCTCCACCTTGCTTATGCTGACACTTGCATCTTAAAGTTGCATCATAAAGCAGGTTAGAGAGCTGACCCAAAAATCAAACCAGAAGAAATACAAGATTAGTTTGCAGCAGGATCAATCCTTGATCTACCTTGTTCAGCAGTCAGATAAACTAAGTGCCAGAACAAAAAGCCAGGTGGAAATAAGTGCCACTGGCAAGAGGATGGACTTCTCCATTCAGTGTCAAAGTGAACTTAGGCAGGATATATGTGGGCCTATACCTAGTTGGAACCACGAGCTCTATGAGCTGTGGCCTCTCCAAGTTCAACTCTTTAGGACACTAAAGGTCTCCTGACCATGCATTAGCCTTACTATGCTCCCTGGCATCCATGTTGAGCCCTGCAATACAAAATTAAAATACTTTCTGGAGCAAAGAAATGAGATTGTTTTACAGCCAGAGAGAAATTAGAAGATACAGCCAGGGGATAAAAGACTAAACACTCCAGGAAGTATCATGTAAAAGGGCTGTTCAAGGTGGTCAGAACAGTAAATGAGATATTAGCAACAGTCAAGTAATACAGCAAGGCTATAAATAACTGTGAAATAAGGTATTAACAGTAAAAAGCCAAAGGAGGTGCTCAGAGATTCTAGTACACTTGAAATGCAAATTACAGTGGAGCTAAGGGTAGTTGTGACAACAGATTTGAACCAAAATTACATCTCTGATTTTCAGACAGCATGAAGAAATTTATTTGAACTTTGCCAGAAAGGGCCGAAATGTACTGTATACATATAATTACTTGTACAGCCTTCTCCTTGCATGTATCTCATTCCACTTATCCCATTTAGAACAGTGTTCTCAGTCAATTATTTACAAAGATAAAATAGACAGGCTTAGGGTTTTCATAAAGTCCATTACAGCCATAAACCACACAGAGAGAATCAATAAATTGTATGTTATCTCCATACAGCATTCAGCATTTTGCTGTCTTTTTTTTTTGTCTTTTTTTTTTTTCAGGAAGTAACACGCCTAATACTGATGTAGTCAGTTCACTTTTCATTGCATTTTGATCTACAGGCACACACCACAAGGCAAACATATGCCTTTTCCTTCACAAATAAAGTGCCATCAGACACCGCGCCCGTGTTTGTAAATCATTTTCGAGATGCTGTGTTCTCACACGCGCCATCTGAGAGCAACAACATAAGACGAAGCATATCATTGTGAAACATATCACATCCAGTGCCCATGAAAAAAAAAAATAAAGGAAAAAAAAAAAGAAGGTGGAATGGCACGATCCACAGTTAGGATTTATGTTGTGCCCTGAATTCCTAAGCAGAACATCTCATCACAAGGGCTGAGCATTTCAGCCCCCAAAGGACCACGCCCCTCCGGGGATCACAGTGTTTGCAAGTGCACGGGGAATCCGTGTGACGTGTGCATGCGACAGACTCTGCCTGGGAACCCACCAGCTGGCAGAGAGAGACCAGCAACATGTGCAACCAGGCAGCTCAAGGAATTATTGCACATAGGAGAAAAGCCTTCCCAAGTCCCCGCTAACTTACCTTTAAAATAGCCCCCAAAACATAACCTCCTTTTTAATAAAGTGAATTTGATGCACAGTGTTATCTCAAAGCACTTCATTTGCTCATCATCAAGAGAATATGGCCTTGAGCAGAGACCTAAGGAAATGCAGGCATCAGAGAATATAAGGCATCTTTTCTTCATTTTTGATTATCAGATTGCAATGGCACCTTGAAAGGCACAGTTCCCTATGTGAACTCCTGCTGTATGAAGGCCTTCCTTCCCAGGAAATTTGCACAATTAATGCACCTGTTTTCTTCTTGAAGAGGTAAAAGCTGTACTTCACTTTAAAAACCTGTGCTGCCATGCCAGTAGGTGAGAGGACTGTAGGATAACCAACAATTGGAGGAACAAAAATTTCAATCCATTACATAGAATAAAAACTGCCTTATTGGGTTAAATCCAAGGGCCTCCTTTGCTCAGGATCCTGACTTCAACACTGCATATACATGGATGCCAAAGGTCTTCCTTTGAATCAGACAAGCATGGATGATCCTTTTAACAAAAGACTATCAGGTGTCTATAAGGAAAGAGAACTCATTTTTATATTACTAAGAGAGATGCCAGGTGGGAAAAATGAAATATCAGAGGCTTTTGTTTTAACTTGTTTTCAGAAACTGAAGGACAACAGAGGGCACAAAGGACAGGTAGCAGTACAACATGCTGTTCTTCTATATTCAATAAAACTTCCCTGTTTCCCAGCTCCTCTCTGTTTTCCATGGATATTATTACAGTGATTTCAAAGCCTCTCTGCAATTCTTTCATAAGGGTCAAATTCCACACCCTGTTCAACATGAGCAGTTGCAACTGCACTGCCTTTGCACGTCAGTTCTCTGGTGCAAGGAATCTGCTGTTACCAACGCATGAACTACTTCATACAGTCAGACCCTGAAGTTTGCTGAGTGCAGGTACCCCAGAAGACAAAAAAGCAAAGCCAACAAAACCCAACAACGGCAGC